TTAGTAACTTACGTCCTCGCATTAGTAAACNAAACCAACTAACTACGTCGAGTAGTATTAGTAGTGACGACTATATATATATATATATATATATATATATCATTGTATCACTATACCATTATACCACTATATATATATATATGTGACAAACTACCATCAAAGTGAATATTGCCATAGACAGAGGGGTACCTCTGTGCAAGATATGGCGAAATAAAACTGCGGGACGCAAATACTACCATAGATACATGCAACACCATATATATAGAAGGGCATCTCTGGGGGAAGACGTAGTTTGTAGAGTTATGTAACACCCAGCGTCACTCAAAACACGAGTTAATGGGTAGTCGAAAAACATTTCAATGGTTGATAATAAAAATTGAGACAGAATCGGTAAACCAAATATTCGCGTATTATCTGAGGCGGATGGTATGTACACCACAGCTTACTACTTAAATATATCCATGTCACCGTACGTCATTGTATGCAAGCGAGGCCCATATATGAGTGGCAGTAGACCAAGGTCGAACGAACGAAAGTACGTTGCTATGATCGAATAAAGCCATGTGAAAGTCAAATGAATCAGAAAGCAATTGCAGCTAATCGTGGAAGGCCCGGAGTTTGCAAAACAAGATATTTAAAATAGATCAATGCGAGTGTTTGGAGCACTACTCTCTAAACCTGAATGAAAGGTACCATCCACAACATCAAGTCTTTTTTTTACGAAATACATTTGATTGCTGAATGAGAAATACCATCCACAAAACCAAAGTCGTTATTTGACGCAGTATTTCCTATACATGAAGCGCTCGTGAATCAGCGCCCCATTAACCCAACTTACCCATGAAATTGACGTCCATCATACGCTTATCAACTGCCAACTAGAAAGTTTCAGGAAAGGAGAAACATATGAGTTGTACAATGTTGACGTGTGTGAGTGTGTATGAAGGTGTTATTCAAGAAAGCGCGCAAGAGTGTGCAATGGCATATCCACGTAGGTGTCTATTAAATTGGTGACATCTGCCCGTACAGCCTGACGACATACCTAACTTATAAGAGATAACTATGTAAAAGTTGCTACAAAACAAAATAAAAACAAAAACAGGATATCAAGCGACACACCGTGAGCTACGGTGCCACACCGAGTTAAGCGAAGCTCACATTACATTCGTGAGGATTCGTGATCATATCGACTGACAACATGTGTCGAAACTTACCTATGTATCACACTCATCTATAAAATACTACAGAATCTCGATTTGTCTCAATTCAAACTACAAGCAAATTCAATGGCGCTGGAGTGCTCAGTCACACACACACACATAGGTGTCAGAATTTACGAGAGTCCATCTCATCCACTACGAGATACGTATTGCCCAAAAGCACACACATTCCGCTCAGCTGCTACCTGAGGAAGGTCGATATCCCGATTGAAAGTACACATCATCGTAAAACATGCATTGGACGTGTACTATGATTACCCACACCGAAGCAGACCCGTTTAACTATGCACGTGACAAGAAGCGTGTATGGAATACATGGTCATTTATGAGAATATTACAATTCATATATATATATATATACATATATACATATATTCAAAAAATATGTGACTCATACACGTTGTCTCAGCATCACTTACATCTGACTTTAGTGCCCGCGACCTAACGCTGATGCCGCCATTATTTACCAGTACATCGACGGTTCCGTATATAGCTAGACCTTCCAACCCCTTTGCTGTAATAACAATGATAACGGGTCAAGCACTTCCTCATAAAAGCTTATATGTGATCGCCTTTTAGCATTATACTATTACCAAGTCAGCTTAATATGCGCGGGGAAAGCTTGCATTAATATCGTCGATGCTACCAAAAATGCCAGAAATTTCTGTCCTTTGTCTACAATAGCCGCAGGATAAATCGGGCACAAGTGTAAGAAAGGAATAATGTTTTCAATACAGCCAAATAAGTGTGAAATGTTTGCAGAACACAGAGATTATTATACACGACTACGTTTATCTTCCCATCTCATCTTTGAAGTGACGTTAAAAGAGGCTAACATAGCGTTCGGTGAAGCAAGTGTGTTAGAAATATGTTATGCTGTTCTTGTTGAGATGCTCAACTTTACCTTCTTCCGATCGTGCAATTGTCCACAGCCTGCTTCTAAATGTGAATGTGCATCCCAGACGGTGACTTGCAAGTGTTTACAAGGAAACCATCAGTAAATACAATATACATCCACCACCGATATATGCGCACTACGTCTTCGGAAGGATGCGTAAGCTACTCTATGAAGTATGTAGATAAGAAAAATACACGCAGCTAAAAGGGTTATCATATATACAAGCATATATATATATATATATATAAATATATAAATATATATAAATATATATATATACACATATATATCCAGCTCACGCGCATAACGACAATACGTAACCCTGCTATGATAAAATAAACAACACGCTCACTTTACTTACCGTGCATCTCCTCGTACCTCTCTAAATCTAGTGGAAGTACTACAGGCTCAGTGCGGCCTCCGTCGCCTTCTCCCAGGGCTATGCACTTGTCCCGTACTATTTCAAGTTTCTCTTTACTCCTTGAGCTGAGTATAAGTTTAGCACCTCCACTGTAGCACTTGTAGGCCAGGGCTGGCGAATAAAGACGAGACAAAACGTGTGCTTCTCTGTCAGATGGTGTGATCTAATACCGAGCGATGGAAATATAAGAAAAAGGTTCGCCTTACGGAACGGCTTTTCTATTCTAACTTTTCAATGAGGCGTCGCCGATAATACATATTTAATGCAAGTAAATAGGCAGAGCCTAGCAATTAAATACGGATTATGAGTTGCAATATGCGGTCACTCAGCGCGATCAGCAGGTTCGAACTTAAGTTCTTACAGAGTATACACAAAAACACCCAGTCAAATACATTCCGGTTTAGAAAGCAGATACACATTGAGAGATGCATGCTGCATCTCGCGCTGGTGTGCAAGTTGTCTACAAGTCTAGAAGGATATACCTACACACGTGAACATCTGCACTTATAATATGTTTTAAATAAAACCTTTCCCTACACCATGATTATACGGCTGGGAAGAAATACTGACACACATACAGGTATACTCCTATGATTCAATTTACTCACCTTCTCCTATACCAGATGACGCGCCGGTAATCCATACCACCTTGCCCTGAAACAGTGTGCACACGATCAACGAGAGATGCATGAGACGAGGACTTCAAAAATGTAGTATAGGAAGAAAAATAGCGAACGAATATACCGCAATAGTCGATCTTTAAAAGTATGCTTCAGCCGCCGATACTTTTCGCGCGTAGCATAACCGACATCAAGGACAGTTCATGTACTATTTTCAAAGTAAAATGCAACAAATGGGAATGAATATATATATATATATTTGTGAGTGTATTTTTATCTGCATGCGTATTTATAGAAAGATATATAAATATATATATACATGTACGTATAAAAATACACACACACACACACGCACACACACATATATATATACGCGCGCACACACACAAACACACACACAAATATATACATCGATCTCTAATC